GCTCGGTCCCGAGCCGTGCTCGGCCCACTGCCCAGCCAGTGATCCCTCGTCTTCGATCGACGATTTCGCCCAGGCCCTGCAACGGTGAATTAGGGTTAGCTACGGAAGGTTCTGGAACAACTTCACGCTATAAGTATTGATCCAGCCTTAGAGGTAAAAGAGGCGAAGAAGTTGACTACATTTACGTTGTACTCTTGCTAACTTAAGCATCGGAGCCGATGTGACTAGAGTCACACCGGTTTACCTCGATTTGGTTTTGCAGGTATTAGTCCCGGATCAACGAATTTGGTAGGTGCAAGGAGGAGAAACGGTTGTTGTATATAATTTAACCCCTAAGATTAATAGATGAAAAAGGAGTAGCAAACCTTTCTTTTTCCTTCCCTGTGTTTGTGTTTAAAAATATAAATATTGAGTTCACATAAAATTTTAATTTATAAATTTGGATCCCACAAATAGTTTTGATGATACAAATTGAGTGAACATGGTGAGTAATGTGATCATACAGGGGCAGCTTTGAGAGAGAGGAAATCTGAAATTTGGTTGGTGTAGAAATCTGGTTGTATTGAGTTGTTTGGACTTTCAAGTGTTGCCAAGCTTGTAACACCTGCCAAAAAACAAACAACAATACATTTGATTGGTTATAAGAAATTTTAGGTTTACAAATCAGGCTCCGTTCAATAACCATTTGGGTCTAGTTGATACCGGTTGTATTTTTAGTTTTTTATTTTAAAAACTACGTTTACTTCCTCTCAATTTCGCTCGTATATGTTTCACCATTCGGCACATTTGAATTCTCAACCAATTTTCAAAAACAAAATCAAGTTTTTAAGAAGACTTTTTGTTTTTAGTTTTTGAATTTGACTTAGATTTTGAAAATATTTGTAAAAAATAGATAAACAAATCAAAGAAACATATAAGTGAAAGTAGTGTTCATGAGATCAATTTTCAAAAATAAAAAACATGATGGTTATCGAATTGGGCTTTTAGTTTTTAGTTTTTGGTTTTTTAAAATTAAGCTTACAAACACTACTTCTTCACTATGAATTTCTTTGTTTTGTTATCGGTCGCAAAATCTAAGTCAAAATTTGAAAACTAAAAAAAGTAGTTTTTATAAAAGTTTGTTTTTGTTTTTGAAATTTGGGTAAGAATTGAAGTCTTTCTTCTGAGAAAGGCGAAAAACATAGCAAAAATAATGTGAGAAAACAATTATCAAACTCTGATGTTTTGTCTTAGTCCCCGATTTTATATATAAGACATGTTATTCCTTACCATTAACGTTATATAAATCTTTTAGCAAGAACTAAATGCTTTTAAAAATTCAACACGTAGCGTTTTATAGGTGACTTTAAACACTTGTTAATCAGTTAAATGAACAAAGGTTCAAAGGTTCAAAGTTTCTCATAGTAAGGACTCGAGTAAGTTTTGTATGCAAAGTTGAGGGACTAAGACATAGAGTTTGAGAATTTAGAGACCAAAAATAAAATAAATGTTAAAGTTCAAGAACGAAAATAAGATTTAAACCGAAAATTTATTACCTGATAAAACAAGAAGAGTCTTGCAGCCACCATTCTGTCCAAACAGAATATCAGTATCTAATCTATCTCCAACCATGCATATTTGTGACTTCAGAATCCCAAACCTATCATTCAGATTGGCACAACAAAAACATTATTTGTTAAGAAGGATGCAAGAAAACAAAGAAGGCAAGCTTGTTTTCATTTGATATTCGACGATTTATTGAATCGAAGAACGACTAACAACTGATAGGACTCAAAGTGATATTCGATATTTGGTAAGTTAACAATATAGATGACGGAGTTCAAGAGCTCTCCTCTCTCCCAAAAGACTTACCAAAATGTACCTACACATCACATTCACCTTACATTGGTTACATAGACGTGACCCAAAACATTGTTGCTAACTACTTTCCTGCCTAGACTAGCCCAAAATACCCTTCCGCTCTCCCTTCCTAATGCCTTGTATACGTATATGTGACACGGGCACGATATCAACCTCAAAGTATAGTCAACAGCTTATGTCATGAATCAAAAGTTGGCAATAGTCATAAGACCAAATTTAAAGGGAATAACTGTTTTCTATGATATAGAATACAAATCTTAAGACACTCCCAAACACACCCTATTGAGGTAGATAAATATAGCCACTGTCATTTCATGTAAAAAAATGTTTCATAGATTTATATATATGAAGCATCTAACGTCTAAATAATTTTGAACAGGTCAGCAACATAAAAACATTACTTGTTTGCTAAGTAGTCCATCATGAAAGTTGAGGGCTTCCCAACAACCAATGGCTCGCGTTGAGTCGACCCGCAAAGAGCACCGACCATCGAACCACCACCTGATTCAGTTCATAATCACAACAAGAAGAAGCTAAACAGCGTTCCTACTTACATGAGTTCTCAAATTCTAGACAGAACATGAAAACAAGCATAAAAACTTTAACTTTTTTAACAATAACTTTCTATTTTCAGCTTCCAACTCAATGATCTACTATACCAAAGTGAAATATATATTTTTTATCCTGCTGAGGCGTTACACACAGACTCTTGACAGTTCATATATGAAAGGAAACAAAAGGAAAGCCAAACTTGTGAAAATAATGATCAATTACATCCTATGATAAGTACTAAAATACAGTGAAAGTGGGAGAGAACTGAACCTGCCCACTCTTGTGCATCCGTCAGATGAGTGACAGCGTCACGATTAGTTGCAATGAAGAGGCAGCCTGGGTTTTCCCGTATGCAGAGTGTCCCATACCTTCAATACCCAATAAATATATTAACAAAAAATTATTACTTTTAACAGATCGAATTTAGTACATATAATATGCAGTTGTTTTGCAGAAATGGAAATCTAATGACATGAAATATACTCTGTAGGTTAGCACAGACTAGTTAATTATTTTGAGAATTGAGTTGTGAATAGCGGTCATAACCTGCAGAGTTGAGTTTACGAATGATGTTTAATAAAGGGGTACTTACTGAACTTTGTAGTAGTTAAAGTATCGATCAAATCCGACCACAACAGCACCCACCTTCATGAAAAACAAGAACTTGTTCAGATAAAATTCATGGAATATGGGGTGAAGATGAGAAGAAGTGATCCATGGTTGAATATAAGCCCTAAGTTAGATTTGTGTATGAAATGAAAAAGAAATGTGAGGAAGAAAGAAGTTCCAAAGGAAAGGTGGCAACAAGAGA